GCCCAACCCGCGCACCGGCCTGCGGGTGTCCGCGCTGACCGCGGCCGCTGTCCTGCTCGCGCTGCTCGTCGGCACCCCGCTGATCGCTGCGGGGCACCGTTGTATCTTCGACAAGCTGCAGCGCCTGCAGCTGGCGACTGGCACCAGTGCCGTCCCCGAGGTGATGGACCGCGGGGCGCCGCAGCGGCAGGGTGCGGAGCAGCACGGCAGCTCCACAGCCCCTGACGCGTGGGAGCCGATCCGCATCTCAGTGTTCACCCAGGACCTCGACGACAGCTCTCGCTACTGCACACAGCCCGGGGAGATAAAGCCTGACTTTACAACCTTGATGATTCAATGCAATTCAAAAAATATTCTCACTGATGAAAAGAAGCAACTGCTGCGTAAGCAGATAATCCCCAACGCGATACAGATGCACAAGGACCGCCTGCTGGTGCAACCGCTCAGAGATAACATTCGTGTTAAGCACTTCACTGGATACATCTGCCCTCATTTTACTGTCCCCCAGTCCCACCACGACACCGGTGTACCGAATGCTGACTCCGTGCTGTATGTAGCGGCGGGACCAACTGAACCCGATATTATCGCGTGGACAGTCACGTGCCAATATGACCCCAGCGGCCGCCCCTTGGTGGGTGTTGCCAATATTGGGTTTATAGACACTATGAACGTTTTATCTACCATACGTACTCTAGCACACGAGTTACTGCATGTGTTGGGTTTTGATTATGAAGAATTTGAGAAAAGGAACATGCTTGATACTGTGTCTGTTCGTGATAAGCCAGCAAGTTATGTTCTGAAGTCGCCCAAAGTGGTGGAAGTCGCGAGGGCTCATTACGGGTGCAGTACCATGCAGTACGTGGAGTTGGAGGACGTAGGTGATACATTAGCTTCCAGTTCACACTGGAAGATGCGCAACGCAAAGGATGACTTGATGGCTTTTATTGATTCTGCAAGTTTCTACACTGCCATCACCATTGCGGCGATGGAGGACACGGGCTACTACAAAGGCAACTACCGCAATGCTGAAAGCATGGCATGGGGTAAGAATGCCGGTTGTGTGCTCTTTGATAAGAACTGCGTTATTGACGGTGTGTCGCAGGTGCCGGAGATGTTTTGTGAAGGTAAAATTGCTTCAATCAGTGAGTACAAGTGCACTTCAGACCGGATGGGCATCGGAAACTGCTTATTAAAGTCATATACCGACTTGCCAACATATTTGCAGTACTTCTCCGATCCAACAATCGGTGGGACAGATGACTTTATGGATCAGTGTCCGTTTATAGAAGCACGTTCAGGTACAATGTGTTTAAATGGGGATACAAGTAGTCTCCCTGGTTCTGTGTTTTCAGAATCTGCGCGATGTTTTTCAGCCGTCTCGAGGATTCCTCTCCAGATAAGCGATGGCCAAAATATGCTCGCTATTTGCGCAGACGTGCAGTGTGACAAGGACACTTCGAGGTACCGTGTGCGCGTGAAGGGTGCCAGTGATTTCGTGGACTGCCCACCCGGTACTACCCTTGTGCTTTCGGACTACAGTGGTGAGTTTAAATCCGGCGCAATCGAGTGTGCACTATACGAGGATGTATGCCCCAAATCCCTTTACCCCGACGATGACCGCGACAATAACAATGACGAAATCATCAGTGCCACATCCGATACGACTAACATCACGTACTAGTGCAGCGCTGGCTGAAATGATTTTCCTCACTAAACAATAACAGGGGGCAACGTGCGTGAAGAGGGTGACCGCAGGAAACATACACTAGACAGGGATGTAGAACGCGAAAATTGTGGCAGGTGCCTATAAGCTGACTCGAGATCGTTTTTTTAATTGAAATTATTTTACTTCTTTTTCATTTTATTTAGCAGACAAATCTTTCTCTCCTTATATATAAATAAATTGTCTTCTTTTTTATTTAGACGTACGGGAAGTATTCTTTCCCATCGGTGTGTAATTTTTAAATCGTGTCTTATCAAGAGTGAGTAAACCACCGACTAAGTCGGTTTAAATGTTGAATACACTCAGCATTAAAAAATGCTGAAGGAAAGCTGTGTAACCAAGGGATGTGTGTAGTTTAGATTCTTTTGGAATAGGGGAAGTATAACGAGTAGAACGGTGCCGAGGTAAACACTTCGATACGCTGTCCTCGTTTTTGCAGTAAGTGTGTTAATTTATTTCTACTGTTTAATCAATAAATATATATTACTTTCATAAATAACACACGCGTGTATCTTAATCACTTTTATATCCTAACAGAAACAATGCCAACACTGTTGATTCCTATTCACTCTGGTTATGGTACTTTGTTATTGTAACTTCCATCACGAATGTAAAGGATGCTGTGCGGTAGGACACCGTAGCCGAGCTTCATGGGCACCTGGTGCGCATCTGAGTAATACCCCTTCCTTCTTATTTCCCTTCCCCTATTCCTTTGCGTTGCGTGTCACAATAGTAATTCACTCACACTAAGACATTACCATCCAAGCACACTCGTACCCATCCACACCCACACACCGCAGTCAAGCGCATTGTTCACGACAGCCGCCGCCACACGCCACCGAATGCCCAACCCGCACACCGGTCTGCGGGTGTCCGCGCTGACCGCGGCCGCTGTCCTGCTCGCGCTGCTCGTCGGCACCCCGCTGATCGCTGTGGGGCACCGCTGTATCTTCGACGAGCTGCAGCGCCTGCAGCTGGCGACCGGCACCAGTGCCGTCCCCGAGGTGAGGGACCGCGGGGCGCCGCAGCGGCAGGGTGCGGAGCAGCACGGCAGCTCCATAGCCCCTGACTCATGGGAGCCGATCCGCATCTCAGTGTTCACCCAGGACATCGACGACAGCTCTCGTTACTGCACACAGCCCGGGGAGATGAGGCATAACTTTATTGCTTCCAAGATAAAATGCAATTACAATAGCGTTCTCACAGATGAAAAGAAGCAACTGCTGCGTAAACAAATAATCCCCAACGCGATACAGATGCACAAGGACCGCCTTCTGGTGCAACCGCTCAGAGATAATATCCGTGTTGAACACTTTAATGGGAAACTTTGCTCTCACTTTACGATTTCCCAGTCCCACCACGACACCGGTGTACCGAATGCTGACTTCGTGCTGTACATAGCGGCGGGACCAACTGTACCTGGTATTCCCGCTTGGGCAGTCACGTGCCAATATGACCCCAGCGGCCGCCCCTTGGTGGGTGCTGCCAATTTTGGGTCCGTAAACACAATGAATGTTTTCTCTTTCATACGTGCCATGACGCACGAGATACTGCATGCGTTGGGATTTTCCATTCAAATATTTAAAAATCAAAATATGCTTGATACTGTGTCTATTCGCAATAAGCCACCAAGTAATGTTCTGAAGTCACCCAAAGTGGTGGAGGTCGCGAAGGTTCATTACGGGTGCAGTACCATGCAGTACGTGGAGTTGGAGGATATGGATGGCACGGGGGCTGTGGGCTCACACTGGAAGATGCGCAACGCAAAGGATGACTTGATGGCTCCTTCTGATTCTGAAGGATTCTACACTGCCATCACCATTGCGGCGATGGAGGACACGGGCTACTACAAAGGCAACTACCGCAATGCTGAAAGCATGGCATGGGGTAAGAATGCCGGTTGTGTGCTCTTTGATAAGAAGTGCGTTATTGACGGTGTGTCGCAGGTGCCGGAGATGTTCTGTAACGGGGTATTTTCTACGATAAATGAGCACAAGTGCACCTCAGACCGGATGGGCATCGGAAACTGCCTAATGATGATGCATCCTTCAACCTTGCCAATATATTTCCAGTACTTCCCCGATCCAACAATCGGTGGTACTGAAGACTGGATGGATTACTGCCCGTACATTAAACCCAATTTGTACACGATGTGCTTTAGTGGGAATGAAAAAATGCTGCCCGGTTCTGTGTTTTCAGAGTCTGCGCGATGTTTTTCAGCCGTCCATAGAACTCCCATCCAGATAAGCGATGACCAAAATATGCTCGCTATTTGCGCAGACGTACAGTGTGACAAGGACACTTCGAGGTACCGTGTGCGCGTGAAGGGCGCCAGCGATTTCGTGGACTGCCTATCCGGTACTACCCTTGTGCTTTCGGACTACAGTGGTGAGTTTAAATCCGGCGCAATCGACTGTGCATCTTACGAGGAGATGTGCCCCGAAAATCATTACTATGGTGCAACCAGCGACGAAAGCACCGACAAAAAGAATCACGAAGTACCTGATGGAAACAAAGTTGAAAGCACCGACAAAAAGAATCACGAAACACCTGACGAATACAACGACGTAAATAACAACGAAAGCAGCAGCGCCACATCCGGCACAACTAAGGGCGCGTACCAGTTCACTTACACGCTTGTTACGGCTCTAGTTGCTATGATTGTTCTCGCTGAATAATGACAAGGGGCAACGTGCGTGAAGAGGGTGAACCGCAGGAAAGATGAACTAGACAGGGATGTAGAACGGTAAAATTAAGTTAGGTACGCTATAAAGTGTTACTGATCGTTTTTTTTGGAATTACTTTCTTTTTTTTTATTTCATTAAACAGACAAATCTTTCTCTCCTTATATATATGTAAATTGTTTTCTTTTTTATTTAAACGTACAGGAGGTATTCTTTCCCATCGGCGTGTAAATTATAAATTGTGCCTCATCGAGAGTAGGGAAACCACCAACTAAGTCGGTTTAAATGTTGTATATACTTATCATTAAAAAATGCTAAAATCTATGTAACCAAAAGACGAGTGTGGAGTGGACATTCGCGGTTTAAAGAAAGCATAACGAGTGAAGGGTGCTAAATTAGGCACATCAATACGCTGTCCTCGTTTTTGCAGTAAGTGTGTTAATTTCTTTCTACTGTTAAATCAATAAAGATATATTACTTACGAGAGATAGCACACAATTAACATTAATCCATTTTATATCATAACAGAAACAATGCCAACACTGCTGATCTCTATTCACTCTAGTTGTGGTACTTTATTATTGCAACCTCCATCGCGAGTGTAAAGGACGGTGTGCAGTAGGGCACCGTAGCCGAGCTTCACGGGCACCTGGTGCGCATCTGAGTAGTACCCTTTCCTTCTTATTTCCCTTCCCCTATCCCTTTGCGTTGGGTGTCACAATAGTAACTCACTCACACAAAGACATTACTATCCAAGCACACTCGTATCTATCCACATCCACACACCGCAGCCAAACGCATTGTCTACGACAGCCGCTGCCACACGCCACCGAATGCCCAACCCGCGCACCGGCCTGCGGGTGTCCGCGCTGACCACGGTTGATTTCTATTTGAATTCTGCGAAGTTTTCATTATGACTGTGCGTGGTGAGGAGTTAATCTTTTTTAAATTTCCGACATTAAGAAAAATACACTCATCAGGCGTTAAATATTTATTTATTTACTCTTGTATAATTTTTACTAACATTGAGACTATTTATTTTAAAAAAATGAACCTGTAAATGCACCAGCTAGACAGCTAGGGTATGATACAATGTGACCAATATTATAACGCAGTTTATTTTGTGCCTCTGTAAGGTCTAACATGTCCGACGCTAATTCTTTACTAAATTGTGTTAGCACTGTAGCATGAGAACACAGTGCGTTTGCCAAGATGCCTTGAATCAATTCGACGTTTTCGCCCCGACGAATCCACATTGTAAGGAAATTTAGAAGACTTCGTAGACATTTTTCCATAATATTTAATTCTTCCGATCCATAATCAACTCCTCCAACAAAGTCGATCACTCTATGAATATCAATATCAATGGCTTGAGTGGCATTTTTTCTCAAAAAGCAATTCATGAGCTTATTGAACTCTCTATGCACTAGCATTTCCTGAACTTCGTTGAGTGAATTGATGCCTGCTTTTACTAACTGTGGTTTTAATTCATTATTAGTAGACGCTCCTACATTAATTGAACGGTTGTTATTGGAGACAACTAGGATGAAAGTCGGCCTTAATTCCTGCACGGTCGGAAGGAAAAACGGAACATCTTTTTTTTTCGGTGGAATAAGGGGGTTATTCTTTTCTTTGATCTGATCCAACATGGTTATGTTGTACCACAGGCGGCGGGGAACGCCAGATAAGCGTAAGCCCTTTGTTTGGATGTGATCCAATGTCTCCCATACCTTATGGTTTGCCTGTCGCTGTATCAGGGCAACATCAGTGGAGACATCATAAAGCTTAGTTCTAGCCCATGATGAAGCCATTTCATTAATTTTATGTTGATTTTCTTCAACCTTTTTACTGTGTGTAAGTTCATCATATCCATCATGCAAGTAGTGTTCATTGGGGTCACGCGTTATGGGAAAGTGCATCCACGGGAGTTCGTGTAATTCTCGCTCACTTGGGTTAAGAATAACTTCTGGGACGTACCCGTAGCGTAAATTATTAACCCACAGAAAGGTACCACATTCACCAACGTGTGTAGTTGAAAGAAAAAGAGCGTCTGGATGGAAGCTAATGGATATCGCAGGTGAGCTCAAACGGTATTGGCCAACGCATGCTGCCGCTGCAAGATCCCACACAAGTAGCACAGCATCGCCAGATGCGGAAACGACATAGCGGAATGAATCCGGTGCAAGAACCATTGCAGTGATTGGGTTTCTATGACCCACTAGCTCTCGTACTGGAATATGAAGTGCAGCCTGATCTAAGACAAACTCTGGATTACAATGGTACACTGAAATTGTGTAATGCTGTGCTACAATAAATAGTGACGAGTCCTGGTGAATGCACGACTTGGTCATTGCCTTTCCGGTCGATACGGACTGTTTCAGCTCACCATTCGCAAGAGACCACAACTTGAAAAATCCGTCTAGTCCGGCTGTAATGATAATGGTGTTACTACACGCCACTTCGATACACTCTACGCTATTAGCATGACTCCGATTGCCATCTATAGCAGGATCAAAGAGTTGGCGAAGACTTCGGTTTTGGATGTTTATCACCACAGCGTTCCCACTGGAGTAGCCTACCACGGCGAAGCTACCGCAGTTGGACATGGTCACCACACGCGCTGTGTGCGCGACGGTTTTAATGCCTGATAATTTAAATTCCAAAGCACGGGTGTCCATACGCCAGCCACACATTTGCGCGGAGTCCTGGTGAAGTGTCACCGCGCTAGCCCACTGATAGTTACGCACTGAGCACGACGCAATGGAAATGGCAGGCGTCATTTTCAACGCTTCACGTCCCACATGCCTTTCCTGGCCTCTCTTTCCGAGCTTTCCTTGTGACAGCTCCCACGAGGCGCGGTCCGAAAACAAATGAGTGACGCGCACCGAACGGTCATGACCAGCTGTGATGAGCAAGTCCTTGTTATAGAAAGCCGCCGTTGTGCAACCACCCATGTGACCACGGCGCTCCCGGACGAGCAACCCTAGGCCATCGACAGAGTCAAAGCGAAATTCCATAATAGCATTGTCAGCGCCACCAGTTACTACGAACATCATGTCTTCAGACTTTGGGAATACAATTAAAGAATGCACAGCAGCCAAGTGCGGTGTCTCTAGAACCTCGATATCGCTTCGCACTTGCTTTGATCGCGTCAACGCACCGTCCATACAACGGTTTCCCAAATCCCATATAATGATCTCTCCTAAACTGGAGCCAGCCATTAAAAGATAATCCTTGTCAACTCTGAAGGCCAAGGCCGTGATGGCACCCTGTTTATGCCGAAATGTTGTAATGGTTTCCCCAGTGCCCACATTGAATACAATAACTTTGCCATCACTTGTACCATAGGCAATAATATCCTTGTGGGAACTGCAAGCCAGGCAAAGAATGGGCGCATGAGTGCCATGATGAGATGCTTCTGCACGAGTGCACCACACTCGCATGGCAGTTTTGTAGTTGTAAATATGTAAGGACCCTTGTGCTGTGGCCACTAGAAGCTTATTAGTGTAACCCATGAGTAACGCCATTATGGTAGCATCCTCGTTATCCCCTACAGAGATTTCCTGTATGAGACTCCCTGTCTTTATTGCCCGCACTGCAATACGCTTGTCGTCACCGAGACAGAAAAGTAGATCATCCTGCGCCAGGAGATGGACAACGCTTGGGCATGTGAGCTCTTGGTGAAGTGTTGTCCAAAGCAATTTGTGATGGGCCCATGCGTGCACTCGTGGGCCCTCTGCTGCAAAATAGTATTTCCCACATTGAGCGACAGCTCTCAAAGGTTCCTGGAGGATTGGCCCACCACGAATCATCACCAGTTCTTTGCCCTTGAAAAGATTAAAGGTCCTACCGGTGGCCACCATCAGAACCGGCGTCCCATAGAGCATGGTGCAGCTAATGGGAACACTGCCACAGATGCTTCCAACCACGCGAAAGGGTTCGAAAGACATCAGTTTTGTTAGTTCCTGTTCCCTTTGATATTCCTGTAGTTAAAACAGTTATATATCTATACACGTAAATTTAGTAGCTTGAGTTGGCAATACCCTTATTGGATCTTTTTAGAATTCAAAAATAAATGAAACAGAGAAAAGAGTTCTAATTAACATTGTCCCGTCTCTATCCCCCAAAGTTATTTTCAGCAATATTTCAGGACTCTATAAAAACTTACATGTAAGATAATAGTCATTAAATGAATTAGAAAATGGGGATTGACAATAGAGCTCCCCCTCCACCCTGTAGGCTCTTCGCATGGAATAGAATAGTTTTTCTTTTTTGTGTGGGAGTTCCATTTAGAGAATGGTTTAAAAAGTAAGAAGGTTAGCTTTTAATAACAAAATGAAAGTCAACACCAATTCAATGGTAAAGAGGATAAACTAAGAAAACTAGTAATGTCTAGAGCAAGATAACTACAGATTGCCCAACTCTGTCTTCACTACAATTTGTTCCCTCCCATACAAACACAAAAAGAAGCCTTTCAATCGCCCCCAAAGGGAAAAAATCCGGTTTAGGAAGTACACTCCGCTAATGAGAGTCTGAATTAGGTTCTATCCATTTGTTGCATATACTCAAAGTTTAAATTCAAACGATATACAATAAATCAATGAGTCATATCTTCAACAGGTGCGTTACGATAAAAATTAATAAATTACTTTTGTGCAGTTATTTCTTTGTTCGACATCTATGCGGAAAGTTTTACCCGTTAGAAATTAAGGGTAATTTCTCCCAAAATAAAAGTGCAGAGTTAGTTATAATCGTATTAAAGAATTTTATGTGCAACTTGCTGTAGATAAAAACTAGTTTTATCTTACATAGAAATCACAACGACACTAGTGAGGAATTTATTCACTCAACATGAGTACTTTTTTTTGGGTATGGGCGTCCTCGAAATTGGTTGAAACTGATTTTTCCTGAGATAGACTTGGGATATTGTCACCAAAGGACCACGTGCTACGTAATGTGTTCATAGGTCTGTGATACACAAAAGGAGGTTGAGTCTCGGGAAACATTGTAAGTGTAGTTTCATTAAACCTCAACTCTGTCCTGTTTTCGTCCTTGCGCAATGAAAAAGGCTCAATAAGTCTGATTGAGCTGAAGATATAAATCCCTAACTGTATGAATGGTGCATTACATTATTCTTTACAGTGCAATAGATTACCAATAAAATTATGTCTCCAGTGGCATGGATGTCCACTGCAGCTCCAACCATCAATTGCATCTACGATCAAGATTTCCGCAGACCGCGAAAAGGTCTTGAGCAAAGTTTCAGAGCATTCGATAAAAAATGTATTAGCAAGAAGCCCGTCTGCTAATATTGTAATAGGTTCAATTTTAGGGACATTAAGATTTTAGGAGATGAAATAGTGAAAATGCCAGAGATCTAACTTATCCGTGGTAGTTCGTCTTCTGAGAGGTTTCATAAGCGAGAGCCTGCGGTTTTGATTTCATATCGTGCGCTGCGTTACGAGTGGATACTTAATTTTGTTGATGAAACTGATGCCGTGTGAATAGGCGAATCTAACGTAGAAGCAAACATCGCACCTTCCTGTGACGAGTACAATCTTGTGTATCTCGAAATTGATGGCACTTTACTCTTGCTTACTAAGCCAACTCGAACGAAAAGCGTAAGAATCGCACACTAGTCGTCATAGTGAATGGACAACCGTGCCTTCTGCTGGAACGGAACCCATCCTGCTTGTGCAACCTCGGATGCATGATCGGTATTGTCTCTCTTCTCGAAGTTGGCGATTTTCAAAGCTGAAACTCTTTCGGTCGTGCACGAGGAAAGTCCACCAGGTCATCTGCGCCCTTCGGGAAGTTGACAAACACTTTGTTGCACTCCTTACCATTAATGTATCTTCCTCAACGCTATTGACTATCACACTCTTTTCTGAAAGCTCTCTTAACCAAAGTCGGGTTTGCATTTCAACGATAAAACACTTTTAACGCAGCTCCATTTAGCAAACTTTCTGTACTAGATACCTCTAGGCCCTTGAGGCCTAGCATATCTGCGTAAAGCACAGGTTAATGGTCCAGATACTAGAGCACTGTTCGCTTAATATTTTCTTGTATTGCATTGACATTACTACTTGTAGTGCAGATTGGCACCGCAGTGATTATGGAGTTGTTAATCGAAGTCGTTATGTACTTGACGGTTCTGTATTCTTCACCGATGATATTTCAATATATATTATTGAGGATGCATAGCCAATTGTGCAACTGTGGTGATAAAACCACGATGAATTTTATCGAGGACAAATTTATGCAGTGAATATTTTATATCACCGCCTCCGAAGCATATTCGAGCCTAATGATACTATTTTCATCTAAAAATTCAAGGGATAGTGGTAATACATGTGGAATATTTATTTTAAAAGAAAATGTGTTCTTACCAGCCTTGAATCTGCAATACAGAGTAGTAGTTTCGCTGGATATACAACAACAGCATTCCGACTTGTTATAAATTGCCTTTATAATAGAAACATTTCTAGGTAAGATAACACTAATAGCGTTAATCTTAATGAACGGGTAATACCTCGCCACATTGATGAAATGTACATCTGATATCAAGATAGTGTGCTGCCTATAGTACACTGTACGTGGGATGCTACGTGCGTTAGCGATAAAGCAATCGGAAGCATGAGCTCACTAACTACTTTCAATGTTTAGTGTATGCAGGCACATTGAGATAAAAAATGCAAAATGTACTGCGCCGCACAGTAATTCACTCAGATAGAGCTATTTGTCACGGAAGTATAGCTCTGAGCAGGAGTTGTTTTTGGAAATTGCACATTAATGTAATTCATTAAGCATTGGTGCTATGATGGTTTTACTTAGCTTTTAGAGTAGGAAAGAAAAAAACTATGCAAGCAATTGAAATGATACGAATATAATATTAAAAGACCCTTCTAGAATTCTTCCCTTTCAGAATTATTAGAAAATAAGTTCCCTGGCGTCTATTCCATCACGCACATTCTATATTGACAAAAAAATGAATTTTTGAGGGACCAGATCTACTTGAGAAGAATTGAAAAGATTTTAATGAGAAAAAAGTTTAACACATTCCATCTAATGTTGTTGTAAGTCTTGGGAGAAATTAGTACAGCATACAAGATCATATTGTAATTTTATATTAGCCTAAGCATACACTTGCAAGAAAGATTCAAAATTTTTTTCCTGTAAAAATGTCGGCTTTAATTTGAGAAGCGAATGGGAAGAGGAACTCATCGAGGTTGCTACCCTTCCAATGATTTCAAACAAACTGATGCATTTAAGTTTGCCGCAAAGTACGTCTCTTTTTAACGGGTGGCTGCCCTAGAGGCGCCTCAGGAACATTCAGACTACTCGCTGCCGGTGTAGCCACGCTGCGTGGATCTTGGGGCTCGAACGCGGAACCATCGGCATCCCCGCCCATCATAGTGGACGTTGAGTCCATGGTAAGGGCAGTAAAAATGGAGGGTCTTCGCACATCACCCTCACGGTGTTCAGGAAGCCCGTCCGCGGCTGTCGAGGCTGCGGTAGACTGCACATGTATATTATTGGGTTGCAGGGCAGGCACTGGTAGCATGCGCAACGTCCGCGAACGTTTCTGTTCCATCTCACAGGCCTGTTTCAGAACCACTGCAAAAGAGGTCCTTAGGTAATGCAACTCCGCGGAGGCGATGTGTGTTAGTTTGATACCAGGAGTAAACATAGCGCTGCCCTCGGCCTCAAAAAGCGACATGCTTTGTTGAAGCTTGCGCTGCCGCATGGACTGAAGCTCACGAACTAACCGAAGGACTTCCGCTACATTCGGAACATCCTCGTGAGCGAATTCACATAGATTTTTTGCTATTTCAAAAAAATGAAATGGGATAGGCTCGAAGGCATTGTCGCTAATTCGCTCACGTGCAACCACGTTGCTGAGTTCGCCTACACGCAGGTAAGAAGGTAGAGTGATAGTGCATGTGTCTGTCTGGCGTAGGTGTAGCGCCAGCCATAGAGGGATTTCTACAGGAGAGTTAGGCGAAAAGGGTCCATAGTGCCCACCTATACAAGGTACGCGACCCATCGAAAAGCGCGGCACCACTGTAACAAAGGTATCAGTGGCAGCATAACTGGAAAAATGATAGTCGTTAAAGACGTGATCCCTCATTTGAAAAAAATCAGGGTTGTGACCGCTTGCACCCATCGCCGTAGGCGAACTAGTTATCACTTTGGAACGACTAATGGAGTCTCCGTTCTTTTTTATTTTACTTGCAACAACAAAAAAAAGAGAGATAATGAAATTTCTTTTCCAATATAACAATAAAAAGATATGCAAACGTGTTAAGTATGACTGTTTATTTTCTCTTCCATAAAGCAAGCTTCCTCTCTATCCTGTCTGATCCCCAGCTTACACCTCCAGTGCATCATGAAATAAAAAGGGGGATCTATAGAATTTCATGCACATTTAAGGAGTTGGGGATACGAAAACGGATCTAAATAATATATTTCTTGAAATACATAAAAAATAGAAAGAAAAATAAATCACTCGCTGCATCCTTTCACTCCTCCCTATTAGCATTTTTAATGTGTAATAAAGATAAACTACATTTTTGTGTCAATATTTATTACTCAAGCTTTCGAAACCGGATAAAAGACCAATTACTAATATCCTGACTCTTACTGACAAATAGAATGATCATTTTTTTTTAATGTACAAAGCCTTCTCCCTTTTTTCCCTTTACCATTGAAGCAAGTTAACGGAATATTTACTAATAAATATAAAAAACACACGAAAATAGTTTTACTTGTAGTCATTTGTAACTATATCACCATAGTAGTGTGAGGGATGTCACAGCTGATAAACTCATTTGGCTTGAGAGAAGAGAAATGACATTCAGTAATCTGAGCCTCCCCCTCCGGTACTCTACTTTTGACCCTCCTAACGTGATCATCGCTTCACAATCTAACATGTGGAAGAAAGTCTGCAGCCGCTTTTTATTCGTCCCCAACTCATGAAGTGAAAGATTGACAACGTGCAAAGGTGAAGATCTTTGTCAAAGAAATTAAAAATGGAACAGCAAAATAGTTACCGAGATTGCTAACGAAAGCATCAGACAAAGGATATAACTTACCGTTCATAGCTGTAGATATCACTTGTCAGCTTAAGTTTTACCCTCACAGGGACAAAGGAAAAAAACGAGGTAATGAAGTGTGTGTAGGAAGGAAAAAGAAGGATATTGGGTCATTGAGCATTAATGTCACCCTGATGCCTCACTAAATGTTCAGTAGACATGATCGAACATACGAGAAACGACAAAGTAACGAATAATCAGGCTTAATGCAGTGGTGATGATTTGTAGACTGATCACTATTCTTGTCAGTGTTCTCTCGTGCATATCACCAAACACATATAGTATCAGGTTTAGCAATGTGTAGTTATGGCTACTTGTAAGGACATCCCTTGTAGGAATCCATCTGGGCACGCGATGTTTTGGACAGCTCACAATATTAAATAGTTGAGGAAGAGAAATTAAAAAGTTAAGAAACTGCGGTATGAAAAAAAGAAGAAGTGTTTTACTGTACCTTCCCATGATGCCTGAGACCGCAAGAACGGTTCCTGCGAAGTAAGTATAGCTATCCCCGACGAAAATTCTTGCTGGATAGTGATTGTACTTCCACAGGGCCATACTCACACCGATAAAGGGGACGAGAAGGACTAAAGCACGTTTTTGATGAATGGACGAAAAGTCTGGGTTATTTCGTTGTTTAGTACCCTCAACAATACTTTTTAACCCAAGCTGCACCAAGTTGTGCACCACACAGCCAACCGCAATGACGATACTCTGTCCAACCTCGACACCATTTATACCGGCCAATATGTTTATGCTGTTCGTACAGAAGACACACAATATTATAAGGTAGAAAAGGTAAAGAGGCCCGAGAGCAAGTAATAAATAACTTTCATGGTATTGCACCCAAGGACAATCTGTCAGGAGGCGAGTAAGAAACGTCGATGAATTATTCGACATTGCCGATGTGACATAGTACCATGCGGTGTATACATAACTCGTGAGGAATCGTGGGATTAGAATCGTGGTGCTACCCCTATATGCCATTACCAACGGGATTGATCCAATGATAGAGAGAAGTATTTTGTAGCGCCAGCGCACATCCAAAACGTCGTCAACAAACCCTAGCAACAACATAACAGTGATGGTTGTGAAGGCTCCAGAAATGGCTGATATTTCTTCCTGTAGCAAAAAAATTAATGTGATAACTACAGACAGGTACACTGCTCCCGCTAAAATTCCGAGCGATTCGGGCACTGACCTCTTTTTAAGATCTTCCATTGCCCCAGGAGTGTTGGCACATGTGTTACGCTTCACTGTGAACAACTGACGATCCCGAGGTGTTATTTTATTGATGTCAATACCGTAAAGGTTGCAATGGAAAAGGTTTTGTGCAACTGAAGGGATGTAATGCAAGGTTACAAAGTAGGCTATAATTCCGCCAATGGTGATGACTGAGAGTTCTGCTGCATGAGAAATAATACCGTCAATAGTTGCTTGGGTATATATTCCCAATTCATTAGATACAACACGCAGGTTTGCAGACATATCGTTTATATGTTGTTCAATATGCAATGTATATATCTAGTAAGAAAAAAGGTATAGACAAAAAGGTGTAGATGTTTATATAGTGTGTAAATATGTGATCTAGCTCGGATTGGGGGTTTTATTAAGGAAATCTCTAACAGGAAGAGAATACACTGCACAGAATACGGCAATAGGAGTTGAGGAGTGTTAAACTTCACAGTCACTATTATACCTTTTTCTACTATCCTGTTAACTTAGGAATTTCTCAATCACTCCACATATCACTGTCCTCAGTGAACAAACGTCCACCATCCTGAGCTTGGTTAGGTTGTAATCGCGATGGAGTTTCTTTATTTTCGTTTCTTAGCCCCAAATCAAAGTCGCTTTGTCCATCCCCCATATCATCACCACTATCCGAAGCTAGTGACGGCTCACTACTACTACTACTTGTATCTAGTTCAGAACTTATTTCATCATTCTTCTGAAAAGTACTACCCTTCTTTAGAGAGACAGAGGGCTTAGCTCCAACAAAAGTATTTTTATGATTATTTACGCGAAGGTCCCTTTTACCTTTTTCTGTCAGTACCCTTGGAATGTGCTCGTCTGTGGCTTCGGATTTGAAGGCATCTTTGGCATTGCGTGTACCCTGCGCTACTTCGCGGAGGTCCCAAAGGAGCCTGCGATCAGTAGGCCCCAACTTTGTGAGGAAAGTTGCGGTTTGTTGGAGGACCTGACGCGAAAGGGTTTCATCCAAGGCAACACTACCGTCTTCAAGATCAACAAAGAAGTCTCCACACCCATTACTTTGAGTAGTCGATGATGTAACTATTTTATTTCCAATGATATTATTGCGTCCTTTGGATTTATTACTTTTAGCGAGTTCACGGTTAGAGTCCTCCAATCTTCTCTTTTTTTTTAGCTTTTCTGTACAAGATGGTTGTAGTGATGATAAAACATCCTCCTCTATTCTTGTTAAGCTTGCGTACTTCATTGTTTCAGTTGTTGTTTTTTGATGTATTGCGGATCTCGACATTATCGTTCCATGCTTGACGACCCGCTTCTCTTGACTTTCCGAAGTATTACTTAAAAAATGTTTGGCAATTTTCTTAAGTTCGCTATCATCTAGAGTTTGTTGAGATAGCTCTGTAGATTGCATGTTACTGATCAACAGTGCATTCCGATCAGTGAAAAGATGTGACTGTTGAGCAGTGCTTGGGCAGATGTGGGATTCACCCTCGTTTAGCATGCCTTGGGCTTCACACTTTTGGTTTCGTTTGCTGTTCAATCTGCATGGATTTCTCATTATCCGAGGATTTATCACAAAACTTCTTAAAAATTTCCAGTTCACTAGCATCTCATAAAAATAGGGGGAAAAAAGAAAGTAAATAATTAAAAAAAACCATTGAAAAAGCGAGAAAAATAAAACAAGGGTAGTCATCGCAATCTACAATGTCATAATCAAGATCAACAGTGCTGGAATTTATTTAAACCTACCCGGGAGGAAAATGTCAGATCCTTTTTATTACTGCTGCTGTTTCACTGATTTAGCGCTACCAACAACAAGTCAAGGTTTATAACCCCTTTTACATAAATTTCAAAAAAAAAATGCAGCAGTAAAGCAGTAACAACAAAAAATATTCAGTTATACATCAAGGGAAAAAGGTATACAGCGAAAAAGTTGTTATTTTCCGTCTTATGTATATCAAATAAAAAAAAAGGAGATGAGAGAAAGGGGGGGGAAGGAGAGCTTATAAACCACTGTCATATGTTAGCGGCGCTTTCCCCCTTTTAAACCCTTTTTTCCTTGCTATCCCATCTATGCCTACTTTGGCTTTGTTCGATTACTCCTTTGAAAAGTGCTCTTCAGATTTATGCCTTTTTCTTACTTTTCTTTCCACCCTTCTTTAGCTTTTTCAGTGTCATTCGTGTAAACATAGCACGAATGGCTGATTGCAACTTGGACGCTGCCTCATAAGCCGCCTCACTTTTCTGTTCCTCCGCCGTGGTCGCTGCCGCTTCTTTCCGGCGCTTCTCCCCACGCTGTGCCTGGAGGTTGAGTTGAACTTCCATTTCGGCTTCACAGTCGCGTAGTCGCTCTGAGCATTGCTGACGCGTCTGCTCCGCATCAAGTTTCATTTCCTCTATCCACTTGAGTTTGGTCTGGTTCTTGCGATTCCAATCCAAAGCCATCGCATCGAGCTCTTGGATTCGATTATAAAGAAACTCAACGTACATTTTATGTGTGTCGTTCTCCATCTGGAGGAGTTGTTGGTTGGTTTTCATACTCTTAGTCACCTCGCGTTGCTCTTCTTCTGCCCTACGTTTTTGACCCTCGGTAGCAGCCTCCATTGCGGCTTTTGCCTCTAACGTGCGTACCTCAAGCGCGCGCCTCTTCTCGCGCAACTCAAACCGCAGCTCGGCTATTTTAGCCCGCCGTTCGGCCAACTCACACTCCTTGAGGCTACGCTCTTGCGCCATGTTATGTTGTAGTTGCTTCACGTTTTGGTTGAGTTCCTTTTGCTTGCGAACAAGCGCATCGGCCCAACGCTGTGCGGCCTGTTCTTGAAACACCTTTTGTGTGAAGCCTATGAAGGATGAGGTGAGTGGGATACGAGGCTGATTGGGGACGTTTTTTACAGCGTGTCGCATTTGCATTGTACTTCCAAACCGTTTTGAGAGTGTCGTGTGTAGTGTGTTTGTATGTGATAGACGAGAAGGAGGCGTTTCGGAAAGATCATCCTTAAGCGTCCCTTGAATGTTACCGAAGGACCGCATTGAGGTCCCACTCGTAGATCGACATAAACTAGGTAACTGCTGTCCCAAGTTAGAAAAAGCCCCCATCCCCAACCCAGTTTGTTGAGAGCCTCCGCGTTGAGAAGAGTAGCGCGTGGATTCTTGGTACCCTGTCGTAAGCTCCATGATCGTGTCTTTCAAAAGCGTGATTAGTTCTTCTCTTTCATTCGAGATTTTACGCCAGTTGTCGACGTCGTTGGGGTTGTCCTTGAGTTGTGTACAAAGAACCCGGCGATGCTCGCGCAGCTTGGCGGACACACGTATGAGCTCATGTTGAAGCTCCTCTTTCTGGAAATCATCCGTACATCCAAATAACTGTTTGGCCTGCAGGCTAGTCTCGGTAAGTGGGGTCTTCAGTCGAGACGCGCGAAGAAATTCCTCGTAGCGTTCCTCCAGAACTTGCTGCTCCTTTAGAAGCTCAGCCACGGTCGGGCGGCCACGGTAGGTGTCTTTAGCGGACTCCACAAGTGCGGCGGACACCGCCGGGTACGTCGCGCGCATCGTGGCGGCCCCATCGATCTCATGGCCATTCCGTGTGAAAAGCACCGCTCCACGGGGTGCCGCCATCGTCTTCGCCCCTTCCCCGTGAAAATGGGTGGCGAGCTTCGGGAGGCCCTTCGACGCCACGCGATCGGCGCCGACCCCGTCTCGGGGGTTCGTTCCGCGTGGGGGGGTGGGGGCGTCGGCCGCGCCCGGCGCGGTGTCATCCAACAAGCTCAGCAGCTGCAGTCGTTGGACGGCCTTCTCCAGGACGGCCACGACGCGGTTGGTCGCGAGGAAGCCGATCTGGGCCTCAAACGGGGCCTGGCACAGCTCCAGCACCCGCGATGTCGCGGAGAGGAGGGGGGGGGGGTCAACCCGTCCTCTGGGCCCGTCCGCCCCCCGGCCCCGCTCCCCAGCCGCTGGGACAGACTCCGCGTGAGGGCGACCCGGGACGAGGCCCGGCTGGACGAGCGTGGCCGGGGGAAGGCACTGGGGACGCTCAGGTCGGTCATCCACGCCGGTAGAGATGCAACACGCCGACCTCGGGAAGGTGTAACGGTATCTAAAAGGGAAAAAATAAATAAATGAATAAAACGAGGAGACCAATAGAAAGAAATATATGCCCCTTCCCCAAAAAGGTGTAATCTTTTTAAAGAATCTTTTTTTTTGTGTGTGTGTGAGTGTGTGTGTTAGAGAGGATTCGCCCTTTCGGCACGTTTACTTTCACCCCTTTTCCCTCTACTTCAGGTTTAAAGGAAAATATCGTAGAAAGAAATTAATAGTTAGAGCAGAGATGAATCCCTTTTTAAGGGCGATTTCCACACCAATCTTTTTCACAGGGTAAATAAAGCAAAGTCTTTAGGTCTTGGATGTTGATATTTTACCACCACAACATATTTAAAAGTTTATTCTCACACAAACAATAACAATGAGTTTCACTTGCAGCGGCTTTGGTAAATACTATCTTGCCTACAACTTTGTGCAGAGACGAAAGAATTGGTCGATGACAAAATATTCCCTTGCCAGAATGCTTTTATGGGAACACACACTACGAGTTCTGTTGCCATTCCGATTTGCACACTGTGCACTGATAAAAAATCGTCTGTCCTTCATCCGCACCACGGGTTTGCCGCGCGAAGGACTTGCACGGACGATGTACCCCACAGGTCTCGCATAGCGCCTCTTCAATCACGCGATTGTCGACCTCGGTGGTACCCACTCGCGGCTTGCCCTGGGTTGAAGCGCCGGCCGCTGTCGTCCCGGAGGCGTCTTCCTCCTGACTGGCCTCCATCCAACGCATCACCGCATCCACCGCGTCCTGTGTAAAAAGCCGAGCCGCGGCGTACAAGGCGGAGGTCGACGAAAGAGTTGTCGAAGACGCGTGTGAACCTGCCGTCTCCGCGGCTTGGTGTAGGGTACCACAGGCCCCGCAGCTCATTGACATCCGCGCGCATGAGTTGATCGGGAAGGCCTGACCACAAACCGCGCAACTCAGAGTCCCGAGCGTGTAGACGTCCTCGGCGATGTAGTGAGGCTTACCCTGGTTGATACTCGCACACGAAGAAAGCATTGGGTGGTTTGTCACTAAAAGCCTAAAAATCCTTCGTTCCAAGATACAGAAGACTTGGATAGATTTTCCTTCAGTCATCTAGATAAAAATAACAATTGTGGTTAGAGGTGAGAAAAAAATAAGATATTTTGATTCAATACTGAAG